ATCCGGGACGTTTTTTTGCCCGCGACGATAGCACAATTGACACCGCAACGTGATCGACATACCCGCGAATGATGTTCCCGGGATCACGTCGGACACATTCCAGACGATCTACGCGGTCTCCGTGTTCTTTCCGTTTCGAATGCACATTTGTTCCAAGACATTCGCGACGAGAGAGAGAGAGAGAGTTCTTCCGCGCGCTCCAGCTCCTTCTCCTCCTCCTTCTCGCGGTTTCGTTCATTTAATCCCCGGGAACAGCAATCAAGGTGGCGCGACTTAGTTTACGGCCCCCGGCCCCTTGAATTCTGTATGTCCTAATTTCGGAGAATCGACTGTCCGCCGTCGGCGCGTGTTAATTTAGACGGAGCCGCTAGTTTCTTTACAGCAATCGGGTCGTAGCCGCTCTTCGAAGACTGACATTTTTTCCGACGTAGAAACGATATGCGACGCAGCTTTTTCCGTTCTTAGATGTACAATTCGGTCCGAAGGAATTGCTTTGGCAAACGACCACAAGAACGACCTTCACCGTCTGCGACGATCGCGAGAGCAATTCTCGCGAGGAGACAGATCTTTCTCCTAATTGATTCCGCGAAATCGATCGGGCGAAATCGCGTTACGGAGAGAACAAAGATCGTTCCGCAGCCAGATGCGGATCCAATCGATCAGAGTTAACTCTTTGCGGTCCGGACTGTCCAGGCGATCGTCGGGATCAGGCGAATTGGCTGTTCAAGGCCGACCGAGGCAGTTATAGTAATGTCTCTCTAATTGACGCGTCGTACTATAGTAATGTCTCTCTAATTGACGCTCGGATTGTCCACAAAAATTGACAATTTGGGAAGAGGAGCCTTGCGAATTCGAGCCTTGCGACTCGTTATCGATTGTCAACGATTATAAAAACATAGTTTAAAGCCGGAATAATGAAGCGTCAGTTAGGGAGACATTACCGTACTTGGCTCGTCCTTCGCGCGAAAGTCGGCGGACGCGGTGAATAATCGGAGTTCTGATTGGCCTAAGTGTCGCAGGAGCGGTTTCTCGACGGTTGATCGTAATTGGCCGCGGTTTTGCACGGGGTGGCGATAAATTGTGCGGCGGAACGATTCAATCTCCGACGGACAATGCATTTTTCAATTTTAACATCGCGTTCGTTAAATCCGAAGTTCGGCTCGCAGTTTCTGGTTTTACCGCGATATCAGANCCCCGACACCGAGATATTGGCGCGCGAAGTTCTTGACTGCATCTGCGAGCGTGCAGACGAAAGTACCGTCCAACACACCGATCCAACCGCAGCCATCTGGACGTTATGCGAGCATAATTAATCTAATTGAACGTGATACACACCACCGAGCATGGCGTTCCCCCCCGAGCAACGCCAGCCTACCGACGCGTCGTTCCATCCGGGACGTTTTTTTGCCCGCGACGATAGCACAATTGACACCGCAACGTGATCGACATACCCGCGAATGATGTTCCCGGGATCACGTCGGACACATTCCAGACGATCTACGCGGTCTCCGTGTTCTTTCCGTTTCGAATGCACATTTGTTCCAAGACATTCGCGACGAGAGAGAGAGAGAGAGTTCTTCCGCGCGCTCCAGCTCCTTCTCCTCCTCCTTCTCGCGGTTTCGTTCATTTAATCCCCGGGAACAGCAATCAAGGTGGCGCGACTTAGTTTACGGCCCCCGGCCCCTTGAATTCTGTATGTCCTAATTTCGGAGAATCGACTGTCCGCCGTCGGCGCGTGTTAATTTAGACGGAGCCGCTAGTTTCTTTACAGCAATCGGGTCGTAGCCGCTCTTCGAAGACTGACATTTTTTCCGACGTAGAAACGATATGCGACGCAGCTTTTTCCGTTCTTAGATGTACAATTCGGTCCGAAGGAATTGCTTTGGCAAACGACCACAAGAACGACCTTCACCGTCTGCGACGATCGCGAGAGCAATTCTCGCGAGGAGACAGATCTTTCTCCTAATTGATTCCGCGAAATCGATCGGGCGAAATCGCGTTACGGAGAGAACAAAGATCGTTCCGCAGCCAGATGCGGATCCAATCGATCAGAGTTAACTCTTTGCGGTCCGGACTGTCCAGGCGATCGTCGGGATCAGGCGAATTGGCTGTTCAAGGCCGACCGAGGCAGTTATAGTAATGTCTCTCTAATTGACGCGTCGTACTATAGTAATGTCTCTCTAATTGACGCTCGGATTGTCCACAAAAATTGACAATTTGGGAAGAGGAGCCTTGCGAATTCGAGCCTTGCGACTCGTTATCGATTGTCAACGATTATAAAAACATAGTTTAAAGCCGGAATAATGAAGCGTCAGTTAGGGAGACATTACCGTACTTGGCTCGTCCTTCGCGCGAAAGTCGGCGGACGCGGTGAATAATCGGAGTTCTGATTGGCCTAAGTGTCGCAGGAGCGGTTTCTCGACGGTTGATCGTAATTGGCCGCGGTTTTGCACGGGGTGGCGATAAATTGTGCGGCGGAACGATTCAATCTCCGACGGACAATGCATTTTTCAATTTTAACATCGCGTTCGTTAAATCCGAAGTTCGGCTCGCAGTTTCTGGTTTTACCGCGATATCAGACTCTTCTCTCTACCGCAACTTTTACGGGGAAATTCTTCGCGACGATCGTTAATCCGCGGCACACAGAAACGTCTCCCTTACTGACGCTCAGATCGCGCGCTAAAAATGGACAATTTGAGAGGAGAAGATACGATTGTTCGAGCCTTGAAGCTCGTTTTTACAGTTGTTGACAATCGAAAACGAGCCACAAGGCTCGAACAATCGTGTCTCCTCTTCCAAAAATTGTCCATTTCTGTGGACAATCTGAGCGTCAATTGGAGAGACATTGCTGTGCCTCTCTCGGCGTGATCGCGCGACATCCGATCGCAGAGAGTTACGGCGAGTATGAAAGGAAGCGTGCCGGTTTCTCGCACGATCGCTCGAGTCGCGTCCTAATCGTCGTCGAAACTGCCTAATTCATTCCATTGCCAGGTGTCCCCCGAATCGCTGCAGAGGGGGGACTTTCCTCCAGTTTCCGTGTGTAAAACTAGTGGATACGTAGGACGGTGCCGTGCAGAAACGCGAGACGTGTTCCTGACAGATAGAGCTGTTTAAAAGCGAACGAAAGATGGGAGATGAGAAAAAGGAGAAAATATGAACGCGGACGTCGGACGCGCGTTTCTGTGGATCAGGCCGCGTCCAATGGTTCTCTTGTACTTCGATGAGTGTGCGTAGACATTTACGGGGCTGAGATGGTCACGGAAACACACACAAGTGACGTTTCCATTATACATATTTTCGTATCTCGTACAGCTGTTCGTTGTACAGGATGAGAACGCTTATTCCGAGTGTTTTTATCGTAAATAGGGATTATTATAAATGTAAAGGAACTATGTTTGCGTGTCACGATATAAACGTTAAGGGAACCTCTTCTAGGGTATGTAGCGTTCAGACACTTTCTTTTTTTCATTAGATCCTAGATGAGCATAGAAACGTTAAGGATGGAATTAAATATCGACGTAAAACAACATTTCCGCGAACACGTTGATCGCGCCTGATGATTTCCTTTGATACTTTTTATTATGATACGTAACGCGACCAAACCGCCGTCTTATTGATAATCGTGTTCTTCTTCTCATTGCCTATCGTTATGATTATTATTATTATTATTATTATTATTATTGCTATGGTTACTATTTAATAGTCTCTTGTTCGACGGATTCGAGTACGGTACACACGTTCAGTTTACGTTAGGCGATGTTTATACATACACCATCGTATCTCCATTGTCATCGCGATTCGTTCTATAGCCACGATTATTATTTTTCTACGCGAGTTTTTACCCACGTAACGCAACCGGATTCCGTTCCGTTCCGTTTTCGATGTAACGTTCTCGGCCGACTATAATTTATAATGCCATGTCAATGTACTATCACTGTAAATATTATACATATTTTATAAATGAAATATTTAGCGTGACTGTAACGTTAAGAGAATGTACTGAAAGCACCACTCTGTACACTCCACTACGATGGTTAAATTTTAATAAATATTTCCCAACCCCATTCCCGAGCTCTGTCTATTCAAATCCTGCTACGCGATTACGCCAGAAGTCTCTACGCGTTTACGGAAAACAATCGAGATGTCGTGCAGAGTCTCATTTTATTTTGCGGTCACTGTGTTTAGTAATAGTATTGTCGGTACAGTAATTTCTCCCGGAAATGCCAAATTTTGGGTTGCTGTGAATTTCCCTGTGGTAGTTCTATGCCTATGCGATTTAGGTCTTTCGATGCTAATTCCCAGAAGACAAGTGGCCTGTTTGAGTGTGAGTCAGGTAAGGAAAGATGCCGAGCTGCAAGGTACGTGGTAAGTACTAGGTATATGACCGACGAATCGTGGCATGTAGCCTTTGAATTGCCTTCGAATCGAGTCACGTGGCCTCCGAATTGCCTTCAAATAATAGTATGTGGCTTCCGAATTGCCTTCGAATCATGTCATGTGGCCTCCGAATTGCCTTCGAATCGTATCACGTGGCCTCCGAATGGCTTTCGAATCGTGTCACGTGGCCTCCGAATTGCCTTCGAATCGTGTCACGTGGCCTCCGAATGGCTTTCGAATCGTGTCACGTGGCCTCCGAATTGCCTTCGAATCGTGTCACGTGGCCTCCGAATGGCTTTCGAATCGTGTCACGTGGCCTCCGAATTGCCTTCGAATCGTGGCAAAAAATTAGAAATAAAAAGGTTAAGTCATCGTTTTCATTCTAGCATGTATTCTATAAAAACGAGCCGCGAGATTCGAAGAATCGCGACTTAGTATTCTCAGATCTGCCGGTCCCAATTCCGATCTCCAATCAATTCCGAGAGAAATTACTGTTTTCATCAAAATTATTTCTTCGTATCAGAAAATTCAGTTTTGCTTCAGTATAAATTGCTTTGTCGAACCAGCGGTCGACGCATTAACAAAATTTCTTAACCTACGGAGCAAGAAAGAAACACTGTACGGTAACTTTCAGGTTCCCTTTTTATTGAGAAAATAGCAGCAGCAGTAGCATCATCATCATCATCATCATCATCATCGTCTCGGAGCTTTCCGATACATAATCTCGTAAGTATTATCAGCTATTTGGCACCGACGGGTTTCAATACTTTGTCCTCTTTGGTCAGTTTCCTCAGCTTCGACAGAGCGCTCTCTCCATACTTGGCCAGCAGCTCCTGGACGAAATCGTCCTTCAATTTCTTCAGGCATCTGGAATGATACGGCACCGGGGAGAAAAAGCGAACGAATTACGACCGTTGCGTTTGATCCGGTACGGCGGAGTCCGAGCACATTGTGCGGAGTACAATCGTCGGCGTCGCTCAAGGTTGTCCGCCGGTTTTAATTGGGGAAAAACGGGCGAGCCATTTACGGGGAAAGTCGCGTCCGATAGAGCAACTTTATCCTCTGCGATCGGACACTTTCCATCGACCGTACCGCGGTTCTAACGAACGATCATGTTTTTCATACGTTACCTCCTGTAAATGGAGTCGGTTCTGAACTTGCCGATGTCCAGACTAGGCGCGTGGGGTCGGTGGATAATGAACGTATCCGGCAGGACGATGTACCTATATTAAACCTTTCGTTTACGGGATCTGCGGTATAGCGACCGATCGGCTTAGATTATTAAACGCGTCGGTGACCGTGAAGGATCTCTTACTTGTAATCTAGTATCGTCAAGTGCGTCACGTAGGAAACTTTGTTCCAGCCGAAACCGACGAACCTGGTGTCGTATCTAGGGGCTAATCTCGAGACCACGATGTACGGCTCAAAATCTGGCTCCCAGGAGACCTACGATCACATTAACTTAATCGTTTGCAGCTTAAGGGAGACGATCCGAGCCGGTCCAACGGCGGTACGTACTTCGTACGGCTCCATCGTGTTCCGCCAGTAACTGTAATTAGTAGCGGCGTGGCCTTGCGTCCACACGTGGTAACGGAACGTGTACAGTACACCCCGTTTCAAGAACCTCAGCAGCTCGTCTTTGGTCGCGGGGAACGTGAACCTAGAAAATATACGAGCCGCTGATTCGGTCCGGGCCGTGCAGCACTGTGCCACTCGTGCGCGCGATGCACTCTCCGAAATTTCCACAAAGCCGCTCATATTTTTCTCGCGAAGCACACGCCGTACGTTTCTCTCGGTATTATTAATGCAAAACTTTCTTCGTGGTCCGCGAAAAACGGGACCCATTTGCCGATTGAACGAACAGCGAACAGCGTTGGTCCATTTAGAGTAATTGTCTTCTCGCGGTGCTCGCAACAACGTTCGATTGAAATTAATCGTCGAAGCTGGCTAGACAATGGTCCCGAAAAAATATGGTTCCTGGATCAAAATGGGCCCCGAGCACAGCCGTCCGATTTGCAACAGAATTTTCTCCAAGTACTTCGAATACGATGGTCTCGTGGAAATTTCGACTGTTCCGTGGCTGCTCTTCTGGGTTCCGACGTAAATGGAACAAACTGCTGCATGATAACAGAGTATGGCAAGAAGGTTTATACATTACGTCGACTCTTAATCTTTTAGGTACGGCTGAATTCTGCGCGAGGCTATTTCTCTGGACGGCAGAGTCTGATATGTACTGTACAGAGTCTGATACTGTATATACAGAGTGTCCCAAAAATGTCTCGCAATCCGAAAGTGGCGGGTTCCTCAGGCCATTCGAAGCAACTTTTTCCTTTACAAAAATGTTCTCCGAAGCACCGTTAACGAGTTATTAACGAAAAACAGTGACCAATGAGAGGCGAGCTTGACTGGCGCGAGGCGATCGAGCCAATGAGCGGAACTGGGCTTCGCGCGCTGGTTGGCTGGGCCGCCTCGCGTCAGCCGTACTCGATTCTTATTGGTCACTGTTTTCCGTTAATAACTCGTTAACGGTGCCTCGGAGAACATTTTTGTAAAGGAAGAAGTTGCTTCGAATGATCCGAGGAACCCGCCATTTCCGGATTGCGAGACATTTATGGGACAAAAATGTAGACTGTAGACTGTTGTAAATCGATGCGAAGACAAAAGAAGTGTGAAACGATGCATATGAAGACGATTATTTGATTCGAACGATGAGCGAGTGAGCTACTAGAGCAAGCCACTATAGTGGCGCGTCATCCAGAGAGATGACATCCGCGAAGCCACTATAGTGGCGCGTCGTGCTTAAAAGGTTAAACAAGCAAGCATAAAATAGTGTCGCGTCCCTTACAACAATGGCTTCGAAGTTCTTAAAATATTCCAAGAAACGTCCGGACTTCGTACAAGCTCCGGTCTGCGGAACGATTCCGCGCAACAGGACCCAACCAAAAGGCGGGAACGTGTCGCGATTGTAAAAATCGATCCTTTATCACGCTACAAAGGTGTGTTCTAGAATCGCGCCGGGAACAATGAGCAAACCTTAACAGGTTCAAACAACCGTTTGTTCCTCGCAGCCGAGCGCAGTCGGCAGTCGGAGCCCACTAGAGACATCTCATGCATTCACGCGAGTATGCATCGCATCAGATCGCCGGGGGTGTACACATTGTGCAGCAGACAACGGATCTGTATGCGTTTACAAGCCGCCCGGCCGGAAATACCTGTAACGTTCGGTCTCGAATGCCGGCACGATCAGCGCTACTTTGTCCGACTCGGTGATATTTAATTTACCGATGTAATTCATGAGGCTCTCGTGGAGCCCGTGCTGCGGCAGAAAATCAACGTCCAGTTGAAAAATGAATGGAGTCGATACGTAGGACATCGCGATATTTCTCAGGTAATTGATCGGGTAGAGGTCCTGGGGGAGAAGACGTTCGTGTAATCGAATATACATGCTCGGCCGTGAGTAAAGCCGAGTGTCCATCTCAGAGTTGAACTCTCGAGAATCGCTCTGTACAGTAATTTCTCCCTAATTCGCGCTAGGATGGACAATTTGGGAAGAGGAGACACGATTATTCGTGCCTTGCGACTCGTTTTTATAGTTGTCGACAATCGGTAATTATAAAAACGAGCTACAAGGCTTCCAATAATCGTATCTTCTCTTCCCAAATTGTCCATTTTTGTGCGCAGTCTGAGCACAAATTAGGGAGATATTACTATAGTTTCGTATATGCGGGACCCGCTAGGCCCTTTACAACTGTACCGTGTAGTCTCGTGGCTAGAGTCGTACTAGGGCCACTGCCAGATAGCTATTTTGTGAGACTACAAGTTATCTGACAGTGGCCCTAGTTTTACTGAAGTCTCGAGACTACACATACAGCTAAACAAGATGCGGACAGGGTTATTTAATAAGGGCCTGGCGGGTCCCACATATATAAAACTATAGAGCAATTCTCGAGAGTTTTGTTCTCACATGGACACTCGCCTTAACCCTTTCGTTACGAGCGCCGGATATAGTCGGCATCCACACGATGGTTCCCCTTTAACCCTTTGAAGTCTAATTTATTTTCTATTAACTTGCATTATATCTGAAGTCAAGATTTACGTGCATGTAGATGCTAATAACAAGAAATGTCGATTTTATTAGCATAGGTCATCCCTTTTGGGCGCTAAGGACTGGGACATATGTGCCCATTGGTTACATATAAACAAATATGTACATGCAATGCATTCCAAGACTGGTACATTCGTGTATTATGGAAAACCGGGACTCATTTCTCCCAATAGGCGTACGAAATACATGGGTGGGGCACGCATGTCCCGATAGACTCCAAAGGGTTAAGCTTTCAGTGGCCAATATGCACACTTTTCAGTGGTGTTACTCCGACTGAGCGAACTGCCGTAACGAAAGGATTAAAGACGATTCCTTATCGAGCCTTAACTCCCGCCTTGTCGGGCTGATATCGCAGACGCAGTATGCGCACCCCGTCCTTGTAGACCACGTGGTACGCGATGTTCTTCCTCTTGCGCAGCTCGATAGACCCTCTGACGAACTCCAGGAAGTTCTGAACCTCGGCGTCCGTGAGGTACAACGCCACGCTTATGGTTCCTGGCCAGTGCTTCGACAGCTCCTCCAGCAACGGTATCCTTTCCACGCTGCACTGGGTCACCAGAGCGACGTCCCTCGGCGCGTACACGTTGTACTCGTACTCGAGAAGGAAAGGATGGGTGCGGTACAGCATGGTCGCGCCTCTGGTGAAATCCTGGCACGGGCTCGACTCGTTGTACTGGAAATCAGAAATTGCTATCCTGCCGGCAACGGAAGTTGTCGAACGAGAAGCGTCTCGCGCGCGCGCGCTCAGGAGTTCTCGGATCGATCTCGCGTTCGAAAGTCGAAGAACGCTCGACGATCGAGATTCCTGGACCGTGCTCGTCCTGGAACTGGACCAGACTTACTTGGGACGCGGTCTCGTCGTGTTTATCGCAACCGAACAACCGTCTACGAAGCAGATTCCCGTCCATCTCGAGGAAGACCCTGTGCAACTTGCGAAACTCGTTGATGTGCTTATTATACACGTCCTGTTTCCGCGGCGAATTCCAATGCACGATCTAAAAGTAGCCCGGTGATGGAGAACAGATGCATTTTGGGGATTCATTCTGCGAATGAATCGGTCGTCCGATAAGCTATGGGCCAGGATAGGATAGGATTCTCGATCTCATCGATTCGGCATCGACGACGACGGAAGATTATTTTCTTCATTTTCTGTGGAACCTGATCTTCTTTCGTCTCGCTTCGCACTGATTACGATCTTTGTACTGTGATCTACGATCGAGATATATCGACTGAAGCTTTAGCATTTTGATTTCTACGTGGTTAGAAATTATGAGCAAAGGCACCGGTAAATGTTCTATGGTAAATTTTCAGTAATTAACGCTCAGATTATGTACACGAAAATGGGCTATTTGTGAAGAGGAAATACGATTATTAGAGCACAGAGCTCCGTTTTTATAGTTGTCGACAAAAATATTGTAGAATATGCTGTAAAGATAGTTTCAGACTTTTTAAGCATCGTTCAATTATATCTGTTTTTGCATAAACTGTGTACGGAATTAGCATGATTAATCATTCTGTTTATAGAATTTTGAGATCCATTTGTCGTGCGGTGATTTATACATAAAAAATATGTGCATAAAATGTAATTTCTTAAATATATCTCTTAGATTATTTTTACCAACTTTTCTGTGAAATATTGTCGTATTTTTTTTACCGTTCCTCTATAAATCGTTGCATTAATTCATCAGGACTTTTCGATGGCGATCGACAAATACATTTTGTTTCATTTCTGTCGACAGGTGTTCAGTTGGATCCACAGTAAATTCTCCCTAATTGACGCTCAGCTTGCAAACAAAAGATCGTATCTCCTCTTCCCAAATGGTCCATTTTTGTTTCCAAGCTGAGGAACAATTGGAGAGAATTTACCGTACCATGAAATCCTATCTGCAAACTAAGCGAATTTGTAGGCTCGGCTTTCTAAAATTGACGTCATAAATCTCAGCACGAATGAGGGAGAATTTTCTGTATTTGAAACAGCTGCAACGAGGACGTAATAACTAGACTGCGGATCTTTATGCGAAATAAAAATTGTCTGCATCAGTTGCAGGACGCAGGATCCAAACACTAGTTTTTTTTCTTTCGTTAATAATTTTAGTAAGATCAAGTCGATGCATCGACACTCTTAGTTTCTTTTAATCGTCGCACTGTTTTAAATTGTCCTACTCAATTTTACCATAAATGCATAAAGATCCGCAGTCTAGTAACAACTAATTACAGTAAATTCTCTCTAATTTTTCTTCAACTTTGTGAACAAAAATGGACAATTTGGAAAGAGGAGGTACGATTGTTCGAGCATTGCACCTCGTTCTTATAATTTTATTAAGAATTTTATAAAAGTGAACCGCGAGGCTCGAATGATCGTATCTCCTCTCCGCAAATTGTCCAGACTGGACAATTATTATTTATTAACTGTTACAGACTGAAGAAAAATTGGGGAGAATTTGCTGCAATTCTCTAATTTTTGTTTCAAAGATCACTCGCGTTTGGAGCATCAAATCCACAAGAATCAAATCACATAATCTAGCGATGAAATGTTCTAAAGACGTCTGAAATCCTGAACGTTCTAAAAATTAATCATTCGTTAACGCGTAAAGAAAGTAGAGCAATCCTCGTGATCAATTTCACGTAGAGAACAATGATGGAGAAAAACGATGAGTGAAATAAATTGATTATCGGACGACCGAGCACCGCGCGCGATTTCGTTCGAACACCACGTACACTTATCTGACTAGTGTCGCGGTAACAAAGATCGCTGATCGTGTGATCGCTCAACTGGACGTTCCAGGTGCACTCTATTTCGTGTATAATGGAAGGATGCTCCCTGATAACAGCATTTATTACATCTTGATCGGCTAAACTAGTTTCCGGTATGCGGGCGAGCACGCGCTTGGTAACCGTTTCCCAGAGGGTCATAAATTTTCTGTTACGGAGTTGCTGCAACTGCATTAGCATCACGCCGGTGTTGTACCCTCTGCCAAGGGCTGGCCATGGCCGTTGACCGTAAGACAGCGCCTTTATGTACCAATGACTCTGATTCTCCGTTAAACCTAGCGCCTGATCGTTCGTGAACTTCCCGAACGTCCGCCAAAGCAAACTAACGTCGTTTAGGACGGTCACGTCCGTGTCGAATACCAACACCTTGTCCTCCCGCATCGCGTCCGGCAGGATTAACTTCAGGAGACCGTACACGCCGGAGTAATGCTTGTTCGGAATCCAGGACACCTTTGGCACCCATCGCTCGGCGTTGTAGTACGTCAGATTCACTGGAACACAGCCGGAGAAAAATTGTGCCGACGCCCGTAGAACTCGCGGCGTTATTGGCTCCCGACCGTTCCTTAGCGAACCCGACGCGCTCGAAAATAGCTTAATTGGTGTAATTTAGTTCAGTCGGTTAATCGTCGGAACCGGGTCACCGACGGCTAAATGTTTTTTCTGCCGTCGCCGTCGGCGAATAGGCCAATGCGACCGGGACAATGTATGTAATTCGAGCAGCGAGGAGATCGATGGAATGTAGCGATCGGATCGATACCGATGCCGTTGGTGATATTCGATCGATTCGATGCCGAAGTACTCGATAGGAAGTATCGATACCTGTTTGATACCTTGCGAAAGCGTCGATACCCGTTTGATACCTCTATGTAAGTATCGATACCTGTTTGATACGTTATTTCACTCAATCCTAATTCGTCACACTCATCATGGAAACTGAGAACAAATGAACGAGACAAAACGAAAGATTTGTAACGTTACAACGGGACGAGACAAAACTGTATTTAATTCGAGTTAGATATTTATTTAAAAGAACCGCTTTTAGATCGCAAACTAGATCCATTGATCTATTGGAAGGATAATGTAAAAAAAAAGAAACAGCAAAATGTCTGCATTTTCTTTGTCCTGCAATGCCAAGAAATATTTTTGTATAATGGCAACTTCAGTGCCGGCAGAACGCGAGTTCTATAAAACTGGAGAATTGATTTGTAAAAAAGAGAAATAGACTAAGACACAATACAGTTAATAAAATATTATTTCTTAGTAGTTGTAATAATATCTAATTTATATATCTTCGTTTAATAATAAATAAATTGAAATTAATAAATATGTCATGTGTTATTGAATACTGCTATCTCAATGATTTAAATATTTATCATACAGAAATACGGTTTTATGGTAAATATAAAGCAAAATTTTAGTACAGTAGGATATCCTTTATTGGAATGTGCGTTTTCGGACTATCTATTTTCTGAATATTCTTTCTAGTAAAAAAAACTTCCGATCATCTGAATAATATATTCCCAATTAGAACTTATATGTACGCTTAGTTAAGCGGTTCTAATTCGATAAAAATTGTAATCTGCATTATCTGTATAGTTTAAAGATGAAAATGACAACTTTAGTTAAATATTATTACTATTATTATTTTAATGATTTTTAATTTCAGAGAAATATCAATATTTCAGTGAATATTCAAACGGGTATTAAAATTATCATAGACTTTTTCAAACAAGTATCGATACCTTTGTAAGGTACCAAACAGTACGGTATGGTACCAGTACGCATCGATTCGATATCGATTCGATCGCTAATGGAAAGAAGAATCGAATCGATTCGCGGTTAAGGAACGGAGGAGAATAATAACGGCGGCGACGACTACAGTTTACTAACCATTAGGCAAGTCCCACGTTTGGAACAGGGTCGCCAACGTTCTCTTCGCAATCTCATCGACGAGCAAATGAAAGTGCAACGGTTTAGTGCGGTAGAATAAAACCGATTTTACTACCGTCACAAGAGCGAACGTCGAGTTGTAGCCGGCGCATACCATCGCGATGTGCACGGTTTCGCATTTCCCCTTGAAAGAAAAAGAATCGACTGTTCACCGTCGTCCAGTGATCTCTCGTTTCCCGATAGATCGCTGATCCCTAGGTAAGTTCGCGTCCAAACCTAAGTCTCTTAATCGCGCGTTCATCGTCGACCCCACGATTAACCTTTTAGGTACGGCTGAATTCTGCGCGAGGCTATTTCTCTGGACGGCAGAGTCTGATATGTACTGTACAGAGTTTGATACTGTATATTCTGTCTGTATATACAGGGTGTCCCAAAAATGTCTCGCAATCCGAAAGTGGCGGGTTCATCGGGCCATTTGAAACAACTTTTTCCTTTACAAAAATTTTCTCCGAGGCACCGTTAACGAGTTATTAACGAAAAACAGTGACCAATGAGAGGCGAGCTCGGCTGGCGCGAGGCGATCGAGCCAATGAGCGGAACTGGGCTTCGCGCGCTGGTTGGCTGGGCCGCCTCGCGTCAGCCGTACTCGATTCTTATTGGTTACTGTTTTTCGTTAATAACTCGTTAACGGTGCCTCGGAGAACATTTTTGTAAAGGAAAAAGTTGCTTCAAATG